ACTGAACCACCGCCAGCTCCCGCGATGACTCCCACGACGACACCGGCAGCTCCACGGATGGGATCCCCACCACCTCGGTTACGCGGGCCACCGTCGGGCATTCCGACTCTGTCCCGGCCGCATCTCCCCCTGGCGCCTTCAGCTCCGACCGCGAGGGTGAGCCATGTAGCCCTCCACCCGGCGAGGCAGGGAGCTCGGTCTCCCTCTCCTCTTCCGCCGCAGCTGGTGGAGGTGGGGCCACGAGAGTTACCTCCAACACGACCTCCATCGTCGCCATCAGGATCACCGCCAATGCCGCTGCCACCGCTGCCACCGTACTAGTAACCGACCTAGGGGGCACCACCCCCGGAAGGGAAGGGTTCACTGCCACCACCCTGTTCCCTCTGCCGCTCGTCGCGACGCGCTGTACGGTGGGCCTCCAAACCTCCCGCATGGGAGTTGGGGCGATGCTCAACCCCGTCATCACCCGGCCGCTGACAAAAAAGTACAGGTAAGTAATACTCCAAAAAGACGCAACAACAAAAGATCGAAAAGAAACAAAGAAAAACATACCAGGAGGTAAGCAGCATGACTCTAAAGCCAAGACCCGACGTCGATGGGCCTGTAGGGCAAGGACCACTCCCAGGCTTCGACCCACGCCCCCTCACTTCAGTCGGGGGCGGAGTCATCCCAACCGGCTCCTGCCCGGCCTACGGGTCACCGCGACCCTCGGCTCGGGACGCCCTGACCGAAGCAGCAGACGGGGCATCCTTCGGATGTGAGTCGCGCGCTAGCACCGGTCCCGGCGATGCATGAGTGCAAGCCCGCTCCTCGGACCACCTGGCTTTCTCGACCATGTCCGCGGCAGGCGAGGATGAGACCGGCGACGCTACCGAGGGGTGCGGCGGTGACCGCGTCCACTTTGCTTCCTGTTCGCCGATAGCGTCCGCGCTCGCTGCACGCTTCCTCGGCACGGGAACCACCACGTGCCTCTCTGCCTCCTGCTCATCACCAGCGGACATCACCGCAGGGTCGCGATGCTCCACCGAGGTCACAACGACCTCCCAACTTTCCTCCTCCTCGAAGAAAACCATGTCATCCACATCTGTGGGATCCCCCGACTCGAGCTTGGACTCGACGTCGCTCTTATTTTCTCCGGCCTTCATGCGCCGTGCAATCTCCTTCTCCTTCTTATACTTATGCTGAGCCACCTCAGCTTTCTTCTTCTTCCTGGCATCCGCCGCCTCCTTCTAGGCGGCCTGCCACGCCGCGCCCTCTGGCCCCTTCGGAAGGTGTGGCCGGGACCTGTAAGCATCAAGCCCCTACGCAACAGGTGACTCAAGATAAAAAAATGTAGGAAAGCAAAGGGGGAAAAGGACACGAAGTAAAGAAAGAGGAGCATACCAGTTTGGACACCACTGAGGCATTGAGAGGTATGGGCTTTCCCTCGACCTTCTCTTTGGGCTTTAGCTGCAGCACCCGATCGAGGTGACTCCAAACCTCATCATCCGGTAGCTCCTCCGGCGACACACGATCAGGGTCCGATGGGCCGCCGTACCTCCACATCGGCAATGACCTCTCTGCCAACGGAGCAACCCGGCGGCGGTAGAGGGTGTGGAACACCCGCACCCCGTCAAGGCCGCGCCGCACTAGCTTTCGGAGCTCCTCCTCGATGATCTCCACCTTCTTCTTCTCCCAATGGGAACAGCCCCACGACCAACTATCCTGCTTCTTCGGCCTACCGCCGGTGAACGCCGGGAACGACACCTCCGCCGGATTCCTGATATAAAACCACTCCTCGTGCCACCCCCGGTTGGAGTCGCAGGGGATGTATGCGGGATACGAGCCTCCCACGCTCGGTTTCCTCTATAGGGCGAAACCCCCCACCGACGCGACCTCGGGCGGATTCCCTACTGGCAAAACTCGCCCAGAGAATAGCCGCCGGAAGAAATCCGTGTGCGGCTCCATCTCGAGGAAGGCCTCACAGACGGTGACAAAGCCAGCGATGTGCAGCACCCCCATCGGATTGAGGTGCTGCAACTCCAGACCCCACTCATTGAGGAGTCCACGCAGGAACCAGTGCGCGGGGTATCCCAACCCACACTCATGGAAGGTGAGAAAGGAAACCACCTCACCGGGCTGAGGTTGTGGAAACTCCTCCCTCCTAGGAGCCCTCTAGTGCGCCACCTCCTTCGGTGGCAGGAACCCCTTCACGGCGAAGGCCTTCAACACCAACTCCCTCACAGTGGATGACCTCCAGTCCGACATCTCGCTCCGGGTTCGTGAAATGATTTGTGAGTTTTTTCCATTCCCTCGCTCTCTCCCTTTTCTTTCCTAGGAACTGCCACGGCTCTCAAAGACGCTCTCGGCAAGAAGGAAAATGAGAGGAGGCGGCGGATGGGGAATAGGCGGAGGAATGGGGTGAAAACCTTCTCCCTTCTCCTACTTAAGGAAAAGGGCGCAACAGTTGAGGAAGGCGCGCCGATCAGGAAAGTCGAAACGACGGAGCGAAAAACCCTCTCTCTTTCACATTTAATGTAGATGAGACGCGCCCTAACCGATGAGACGCGCCCTGACCGACAGAACGGCGCCTGATCAGACGGGATGTGGCCAGGGTATGGCCCACCACTACCGCACGCCAACCACTACCGCACGCTGGGCACAAGAACCAAAGCGGCACCACACACAGGCAGCTCTCCACATCCCCAGGCGGGACTTAGAAAAAACCCGAAATGGGATCTTCGCTAGGAGAGACCATCGGGCTTCCTAAATCGATCGAACAGCTCAGAAAAACACCGAGAGACAGGTAAGGAGCAAAGGGATGCCCTATGTAGGCCATGCCGACTCTGTCACGACCGATGAGCACGGGTCCCGGTTGGACATTTCCGACTGAAGCTCTTCAAACCCGGTCACTTGAAGTCATCAAGGTAACACTACCGACCCCCGCTATTTCTTTATAATCATTTCATACATCCATACACGCATTCATTCCATACGCCCATGCCCCCCGGACGATTCGGGCCCTGAACTGCCCGGGGGCTCGGGAACTAAGCATCGCACATGTAGCGAAATGCATCACAACGCTCCGTGTTGCGTCATGAAGCGGCAGTTGCCTCATTCGACAAGAGCAATGACCGATCGGGGTTCGAAGGCTGGCCCACGAAGGGCTCGAGGCCGCCCCACGTCAAACAGAGCCAGGGGAGAAAACGTAGATGAGCCCCGTGCGGCCCTCGCCCCGTCTGCCCCAAAGCAGACAGGGTCATCTTAACCTTCTCATTCGATCCTGAACCTCTTGCCAAGCCCACAGAATCTCTATCGAGGGGAGGCCGTCAGGCCACCCATGTCGGTCTCCGGAACGACCCAAGCGTCTACCGAGTTGCAGGTAAAGGAGAAGTGGAACGTCACGAGAGGGCCATGCTAACCCCGTCACGAACAACGGACCTGGATTCCACTCGATCAAACCCGTTAGCGAACTCACCGAGCGCGTCACTCGAGCCCGAGCGATCGGGACAAGAGACAAAACTCAGCCCCCCGGTTGTGAGAAACCAAGGACGGGGTAACGCACACAACTCAAACCGACCCCTACTAAAGCCCAACGAGGCTCGGGGGCTCAAGACACCAAACGCCCGGGTCTACGGCCCCGAACTCGCCCCATCCATCGGCTACGCTTCGACTGCACACCAAACGCCCGGGTCTGTGACCCCGAACTCGCCCCATCCATCGGCTATGCTTCGTCTGCACACCAAACGCCCGGGTCTGCGACCCCGAACTCGCCCCATCCATCAGCTACGCTTCGACTGCACATCAAACGCCCAGGTCTATGACCCCGAACTTGCCCCATCAGGATCCACGAACTCCGGCTCGCCCGATCCCTAAACTAACTAAACTAAACTGCCTTGGCTACACGGGCTGCACCAAGGCCAGGATCCACGACTCCGACTCGCCCGATCCCACGGCACGCACCGACGCCAGGACCCGCGAGCTCCGTCTCGTCCGATCCCTAAACTAACTGCCTCGCCCGATCCCACGGCGCGCACCGACGCCAGGATCCACGAGCTCTACCTCGCCCAATCCCAAAACTAACCGCCTCGGCTGCGCAATGACGCCTTGGTTGACAACTCCGTCTCGACTGAAAAACACGTAGACACGCCCGCCGACAAACACCCCCCAGACGATTCTGCCCAAATCGCCCGGGGGCTTGGGGGCTACACCTGCGGGTGCGCTCGCGCGCACCCACTGACGAAACAAAAACCTCTCCCGCTGGCAACACGAAACCCCTCGGACAATTCTGCCCGAATCGCCCGGGGGCTACACCATGATCGTATTCTGATCGTATTCGCCGGGCCGAATATCCAGGTACATGGCCAGCACGCCACCGCAGTCCCAGATGCCGGACATCATGCACCGATCGACGCTGGGGTCGACATCGTCTTCGTTGACAACGTCGCCCTCGTTGCCGATGACGCACACCTGCTCCCACCGGTGGTCCGCGGTGAGCAGCCACAGGGCGACTCTGTGGTGGCCGTGGTTCGTCGTCAGGAAGGGACGGCCAGACATCACCATGAGCTTGGACCTCGCGTGCCTGCTATGCGAGTTTGGGTCGCGCTCGCCTGGCATGTCTATCGTGGTCACCGTCTCGTCGTCGACGTCGAAAGCGAGGATCAGTGATGACCGGAAGTCATGGAGAAGGTAAATCGTGCCATCCATGTAAAGCGACTCCTGGATGATTCCTCCGCACATGGTTCCTTCTGGTAACGCCATGACTGATCGGGGCTGCTCCTCGGCGCCGCCGTTGCCCCGAGCGTGTAGACCAGCAATTCGTTGGAGTACATTTTCTCGGGTGGCTCGCAGTCCAGCGGTCCAGCCTGCACCGGCGAGACAGGAGCAGCTTGTAGGTTTTACTTCGCCGGCCGTAACCCAAGCCCAGTATTCTGTAAGACCCCTTCAACGGACAAGGGACAACCACTTCCTTGTCGTCGTCGGCGACGGCCGGGTTCCGGAGCACGCACATGGTGGTGGGGCTATTCTTTGTGATCTCGCTGGCGAGGACCGAGGAGCACGACGCCGTTGCAGGTTTTGATGTACTTCTTCTTGAGGTACCTCCCTCCGGCCAGGGCGCGGATCGGGGCGTTGCTGCCGAGCCCGGCGCCGGCGACGTGGAAGCCGTGGAATCCGCTGACGCGGCCCCGATAGCCTCTTTGCCGTACCGGCGCCGTTGTGAGGTAGGCGATGTGCGGGTGGGGCAGCGTCGCGCCGAGGCAGCAGTGGAGGATCCGGAACTCCGGGCTGCGGATCAGGCGGCGGTGGTGCTTCGAGAGCGTCATGCATGCGATCGCGGTGCGCGCCGGTAGGCGGGCGAGGATGTTCTCCTCGATGGCGCCGTCGCACAGGCACGCGTCTGACGACGAGCCATCGGTGGATGACAACTTCTCCCTCTTCCTCGGGTCTGGACGAACGCCCAACCACTACAGCAGCCAGTGGCTTCCCCGAGTGCCAGTTGCACTCGGGGAAGGCCCGGTTGCACTCGGGGAAACTTTTCCTGAGTGCAACACTCGAGGAAGACCCTCCGGCTAATTCTCATCCGACAAAGACGTCTTTCTCGAGTGCCGAAAATCGTGCACTCGGAGAAGGCTTTGCCGAGTGCCGTGCTGGCACTCGGGAAAGATTTGACGCCATTGGCCGACGGCCGATGCCATTTTTTTTTATTTTCTTCCCCGAGTGCAACACTCGGGGAAGATTTACACTCGGCAAAATAAAAATGCGAAAAAAACACGAAAATAATAGCAAAAAAACCAAAAAAAAAAAATTCGGGGGAGGCCGCCACCGGCCAGTGCGCGCCCTTCTCCATTGAAGTCGCTGCATTTTTTACGCAAAATTCGCGGCCGGCAGGATTCAAACTCACGACCTCTCCCTCACGTGTCTGCTGCTCTACCATTGCACTACACTGTCACTTGTGTCTAGATTTCGTTATCTATCCTCATATATTATACTAAACCGAGAGTAAATTGCTTGTTTGAGGCCCAAACGAATTCAAATCAAAAAATGGTAAACTATAAGGTTTCATAACTTTTCGAGATGTACAATTTTCATTTAGGAAGTTTTTCCATCCGAGGTCGTTTGAAAAATTCGAATTTCAAATTTAAGAAATTCAAACGTAGTTTTGCATGATAAGATGATTTCAAATCAAAAAGTTGTCAACTACATAGTTTCATAACTTTTGTAGATCTACAATTTTTATTTAGGAAGTTTTTCCATCCGAGGTCTTTTGAAAAATTCAAATTTTAAAATTTTCTTCCCCGAGTGCCTTCCCTGGCACTCGGCAAAGAGACCCTTTGCCGAGTGCCATGACAGGGCACTCGAGGAAGCCAGCCTCTTTGCCGAGTGCCAAAGTGCGACACTCGGCAAAGCAAAATTTTTTTAGTTTTAATGGCGTGAGCGGGCTGGGCCGTCAAGTAACATTTTTCTTTGCCGAGTGCCGCTCTTCTCCGACTGTTGCACTCGGGGAAGAGAGACTTTGCCGAGTGCCGCTCTTACCGAGTGCTAAGCACTCTGCGGCACTCGGCAAAGCCTCTCTTCCCCGAGTGCTATTCTTCCCCGAGTGCAACACCCGGGAAAGATTGGCTTTGCAAGTGCCTGATTTTTTACACTCAGAAAAGCCTGCAACACTCAAGAAATTTTGCCTCTCCCGTAGTGAACGCCGCCTTCTCTCCATCCTCAACGATCTCGTTTTACTCCATCGATCCCTGTTGTGGATTCGATCGTGGCTCCAGTAAATCGTATAGGCGGTAGGCGCCTTCTTTATTTGTGTGCTATATATTGTGTTTGGTATATGCAAACACATTATAGCAGTACATCTGTACATGATGATACGTTTTGTTCCCCCTGGAGATCCGAGATATCGAAGTAATACAGTCCAGTTAGTTACGGTTACGGTCAAACGAAACTAAATAAAAGGCCCACATCTGTTGCAAAAATATAGGAGTATATATCTAGTTATCTACCACGCGTATCCAAAAATCATTCCAACAACTATGTATGGGAGCACATGTTATCTCCCACTGTCCATGATGTTTAGTGCAGGGCTATTTGTTGTTGCTCCACAACTCAAGTTGGACGTCTGACCTCAAGAAAAAGACCTCAAAAAAAAAAGGTTAGACGTGGTGATTTGGCAGTTTCTCGTCCGCAAAATCTATCAAGCGACGGATTGCGCGGAGCGCGCTCCCCTACGACCCATGAGGCCGGTGCGCCCTGCAGCCCATGAGCCAATTGCCTTCCTTCCTCCTCCTCCATCGTTGCCGGAGACGAGCTTGCCGGTGTTAGGGTTCCAGATTTTAGGGGGTTCCATGGCCGGCGGCCATAGAAGGGGGAGGGGGGCTGGTGGCAGCGACCGACCTGACGGTGGTGGCGGGTTGAGGGCAGCGAGCGAGGCAGCTGGAGCGACGCCGAGCGGGCAGTGGGAGACAATCGGTTTTGAAGAGCTCGCGACGGGGGCGAAGGTCGTGCGTGGTCCTCCTCTGATTGAGACTAGTGGAGGGAGAGGTGGTGTAACGGGGGTGGGCGGTGGGCAGGGCGGCCGACGACTTAAATCCACGGGAGCACCGCTGACCAAGTTGGCGGGCGAGGAAGGTGGGGGTAGGGTGTGCAGGGCCAAGGAAGATGCGAGGTGGGAGCAGAGATGGCTGAGGAAGAAGAACAGTTCGTGGTCACGTGCTCCCCAGAGCGTGACCCGTCACTCATCAACGTGCTCCTTTATTGTCACGCACCATGGCTAGATCCATGACCGCCTCCCTCGACGCTTGTGATGCCGACGCTATCTCGAGTGGTCAAGTGGTTAGTGCAGAGCATCGTCGGAAGCCTCCTCACGGACAAGCTGGAAAGCCTGGACGCGAGAGGTCAGGCTCGCCGACGCATGGCGGCTCGAGGGAGAGAGGAAGGGAGAAAGCGAGAGGGAGGGGTGGAGGTGGTAGAGCAGCGCCGGAGCTCGAAGAGGAGCGGCGACGGTGCAACAATGTAGATCAATTAGGAGGACGTGCAAGGTGGAAAGGGGATCAAGGATGTTCGAGAGGGGAAGGGAAAGGAAACTTTAAAACTCCAATACCAAACAACATACACACTTTAATAACTATTAAATCGAGATAAAATATTATCTTGACCATATTAAAGTGGTTTCTTGACTGCTTTTGCTGATGTGATAGTGGACCCCACATGTTATGTGGTCTCTCTTTTTCTTATACTAGCAAACGCAGAACATATAGCTTCTTGCGCGGTCATCTAGATGATTTGTTTCTCGGAGATTTATTTAACGGCCGCGTCATCTATCCAATACATCTTGGAATCAGACCACCATCGCAAGACGTGTCTTGAAATCAGACATCATCGTTGGACACGCGTCGTTCGAACTCATACGAGGACGGGTCATTGTTATAACTTGTACGAGGACAGATCGTGAGTCCGGGTCACAAACGGGACAAGAAGGGGCACTTCAGCAAATAAAAAAAGATAACTTTACTCCACTATTTTTAGAGTTTTACATAAAAATATGATGGTTTTATAAAATACCTTGATTTCCAAGTGGTAGTATTTGGACGCAACTTGAAAAGTGAAAACCATAGCATGCTAAATTTGTAGGTTTTTTGTTTTAGAAACTCCACCCTAGACACACATTTTTTCTAAACTATTGTTTACGTATCTCTGGATTCTAAAACTGTATTTAATGCAACATATCAATATTCGAATCCAAACAAGGCCCCTCATATCAGCATGATAAAAAATCACATGAAAAATTCATGAAAACTTCCGCTATAATATGGATGGATAGATGATGCAATAATATCGGTAATGTTGCAGTCAGGGTGTCTGTCCATGAGACGCTTGCTTCCTAGGCCTGCGAACCGCCCAAGCAACCAGCTCCCTCCCGCTTTCCATGGCAAGTTTGAATCGAAATCGAATCGAAAATGAAAACACCTCGGATCAGTAAATATCCTGGTATTTTTCGACCAAAAATCTTCCTTTTCCTTTCTGTATCTTATCTATATATATTAAAGGTCCTTGTCTTCGTTGATTTCACAGAACGCCTCGCAGACAATCTCCTCCGGCAGAGTCGAGTCGATTAGCCAACATAGTTGCGTGCTGCCTTGGAGGCCAACGGCAAGAAGCCGCCAACTCGGCGCCAAAAATCGTTGTGATCTTCCTCATCGTGCCTCCGCCATCGACGCCCCAGCGCGCACTCATCGCCAGGTATGTAACTGTGTACCCCACAACCATCGATTGCTGCAATCCATATGATTCAAAAATACAGGGCATCTATTTTCAGAGACTCTTCTTGCCTGTTTGATGATGTTGAGAGTATTGCAGATTTCTTACCCCTGCTGAAGGGGGCTCTATGCTTGCTGCATCTCAATAAAGAAAAAGGATACAAACATGTTTGTGTACAGTGTAAAGAAAATAGAAAGCGTTGAACCTCCCGTAGGAGGCCGCACCTTTGTTATATAGGCAAGGAATTGCCCCCTGCGTGGCTTACAAGATGAGCTCAGGTTTGTTGAGATCTGAGGATAATTACAACACAACTAACAACCTATACAATGCAACAACAGAAAGATAACAGATCCTCTAAACTAACCCGGGCTCTCACGGTACAAGTTTGTTAACATCCTCCCTCAATCTAAACCTGGTATATGAAGGTTGAGATTGCGCTTTAGTTCTTGTAACTTGAAAACTGGAACTGGCTTTGTAAAGCCGTCAGCCACTTGATCTCCGGTACTGATTAGCTTGATATCAAGCAGTTTCTGTGCCACTCTTTCTCTTACAAAGTGATAGTCAATCTCTATATGCTTGGTTCGAGCATGGAACACAGGATTTGCAGACAAGTATGTTGCACCAATATTGTCACACCATAGCCTAGCAACAGGCGGAGACCGAACTCCAAGTTCTTGTAGAAGAGACTGAATCCAAATGATTTCAGCTGTTGCATTTGCCATAGCTTTGTACTCCGCTTCTGTGCTTGATCGTGAAACTGTAACCTGTTTCCTCGCACTCCATGACACAAGGTTTGATCCAAAGAAAATAGCAAAGCCTCCTGTGGAGCGCCTATCATCAACATCTCCAGCCCAATCAGCATCAGAGAAACCACTGACAAGACTTGATGGCGATCTTGCTATTCTAAGTCCCAACCTTGTGGTATTCTTTAGATATCTCAAGATACGTTTTACTGCCGTCCAATGGACTGTAGTTGGAGCATGCAAATATTGACATACCTTATTAACTGCAAAACAAATGTCTGGCCTTGTCAAGGTTAAATATTGCAAGGCACCAACTATACTTCTGT